GACTCTAAGATTAATCTGTACCAGAATGACGGGAAGAAAAAAGTGTGGAGAAGGCTTGGAACAGCTCATGATTCAAAGCACACAACCTCATCTGTAAAACATGGTGGAGGCCGTGTGATGGCATGGGCATGCACGGCTTCCAGTGGCACTGGGTCATTGGTGTTTATTGATGATGTGACAGAAGACAGAAGCAGCTGGATTAATTCTGCAGTGTTTACAGATATACTGTCAGGCCAGATTCAGCCAAATGCAACAAAGTTGATTGGACGACGCTTCATAGTACAGATGGACAATGATCCAAAACACAATGCAAAATCAATTCAATCAATGTATACCCTTATCCTTTTTAAACCCTCAAAAAGTCAATACTTTCTCCCTAGAAAAATAAATAAATAAATTGATTTTAAACATATAATATGCAACAAAGTCCCACTAATCAAAAAAGTGTCCAAAAAGAAAGTCCAAAATAGTGTCCACAAATATCCCAAATTTATTCACTCTTTTCATCCACTGAAAGGATTGGCTCCTATTTCATCCAAAACGCACCTCGAAGTAAAGAATATAATAATATCTAGTGCATTACCTTAATAATAATAATAATAATAATAATAATAATAATAATAATAACAACAATAATCACCCCGTGCAACCAGAATACACTTCAAAAAACCTTTTGTTCAAAGAAAAAAAAAAAATATATACAGATCCAAATTATTTTCTTATAGTGCATATAATCACACAAATCAAACTGTGAGCACTCTGTGGTCACTGCAATTCAGTGTCTACCATCAACCAACACACAGTAGTATTAAATACTATTACCCTCTATGAGTATTGAAATGCTCAAACAATACTATGGAAAAGTATTCCTCCACATTATCTTGAATTAAAGCTGAAAGTCTACACTTCAAATTCATTTGGATTATTACGTTTTAATTTATTCTGGTGGCATACAGAGCCAAAAGTATGAAAATTGTGACTGTGTCCAAATATATAAAGGACCTAACTGTGTGTTTCCTTTGGTTTTGGATTACGTGGGGAAGGGCTAAAACCTTTGGCAAGTTTAAAATGCTGTATCTGTATCTGATTTTAGGAGATTTTTCTGTGAAGTTTTTAATGTTAAGCGCCATTAGGGAGATTTTCCCTAACTGCCTATTCTAACTCACTCTATTAGAAAATTGGATTTTGTTGGTGTCTGTGTCCGTATTGGGGGGATTTGCTCTCACTCCTTGGGAAGGACGAATGTGTCTGGGTTCTGCCCAAACATTTGTGAAACCCACGGTGAAGTCTGAAAATTGAGAACTTAAATCAGAACCCAATTGAAGTCCATGGAGCAAATCCTGAAAATCTATTTTACCCATTTTTAAGGCTAATATGCAAAAATTACATGGGGGCTGGGCACTACAATGGAGGATATGTATTAATTGCAAAAAAAAAACAACATTTTTTAAAGCCTAATTCCAGCTTTATCACTTTAAATAGTTCCTTTGGACCAAGCTGGCCAAAAGAATGTCCTTTAGTAATACATGCAGCTGCTGTCAGAGCTGTATAAAACGTATGTAGCTACATACAGTATACAGCTCTGTGTTTCTGGCAGTGGTACATGGACTTCCTGTCTGCTGCCAGAACAAAACTGAGTCAGGCTGAGTATCACAGGAGGCCTTGTATTCCTTCTTCCTCTGGTCTGCAATGGAGAGGCAGACAGATTACATCATGACCTCCATCTCAAGTCATTCAGGGGGAAGCCCTGTATTCACTGAGAAAATACAATGCTGTGAATAGGTGAACAGCATACAGCCTGACACAATTTTTTTCTGTAAATGGGACAGGAAATCCCCAAACTGCTACCAGAACACAGCTCTATATACAGTATGTAGCTGATGTTAAATACAGTGTATACAGTACAACATTGACAACTGTTGCAAGTATCAGTAAATGATATAGTTAATTTCAGCCAACCTGGCCCGAAAAAACTATTTAAAGTAATAGCAGAGTTGGAGTTAGGCTTTAGATACCATACAGCAGAAGAGGGTCCACTTTTTAATGTGATTTCAAAGGTGACATAGGAAAAATACCAATTCCTCAAATTACATTCTTAGGAGATACCTTTAAAGGAGAAGTACAGCCAAAGCTCTTTTGGTTATACTTTTCCTGTGGATCACAAGGGTGCAGTTAGTTCTTCATCCGTTCCAGGCTGGGGAAAGATCCTGACTTCAAAGTCGGGATCCACTCCAGAGTCTGGAATATCACCTGGCTCAGCCTCTCCGCATTCTGCTGAGAGGCTGAGCCAGCTGCTCCCTCCCCCTCCACAGCCCAGCACTCCAGTGAGCACTGGGGGGCGGGGGGGCAGAGCAGACAGCAGTGACTGTTCAGATCAGCTGTGAGAACTCAGTGATCGCTGGTCATGTGATTGCTGAGTTTCTCACACTTAGAGCGCCAGGGGACAGATGCAGCATTGCACTGATGCTGCATCCACCTAGGTAAATATGATTGCCCATACTTCTCTTTTAAGCTTTATGTTCAAAACGCTGCCAAGTAAATTTCATTTCATTCTTAAATTACTCTAGTGTTGATGTTTTAATTAAAAGCTGGAATGTGTCTGTCCTGTTCAAAATGCTGCCTACTATAAGTGCTTAAATACTGTATAAGTAGTCAATACAATATTTGTTGGCTTTTTCAGTAAAATAAATAAACTCTTTTGTTGTTTCCCTGATTAAAATCTGGCTGATGTCTGTTCTGCTAAAAAAGCAGTACAAAGTGTGTCCCACCCCAACCCAATCACTGCTGGTAATCACTGACTGTGTGGACAATCATTAATAGCTGTGGCCCCCAACTGCCTGTCATTGTAATGTATGGGCTCAGAAGCTGCAGCTATATATACATCTGTCAGTTCCAGCCACATGAATCCCTAGATTGTGTAATCTGCTGTACAAATGGACTCTAAAAGTGTTTAAATACTGTGCACATAATCAATACAATACCCCAATGTTTTTAAGTCAAATAAACACACTTTAATAATACTGTTTTAATTAAATGCTGTCTGGCATCTGTCCTGTTCAAAAAGTGGTCTGGTGAAAGCTCCCTAAATACTGTGCACTTAGTGCAATATGTTATCTGTTTTTGTTTAGTAAAATACATACTCTATTTGTGATTTTTTTTTATTGTTTAAAAGTTGACTAGTGTCTGCTCTGCTTAAAAAGCAACCCAGTGAAAGTGCTCAAATACTGTGCACTTAGACACTGCAATATTTTGGTGGATTTCTTTTTTTTTCTTAAAAAAAAGCTTGCTGGTATATGTCTTTCCTAGTAAAAGCATTTAAATACTATGCAGGTAGTTAACATAATATTTTGTTATCTTTCTTCAGTGAAATAAATATCATTTTGCAAAAAGAAATTATGCGTTGCTAGAAACCAAATAGGACATGTACAGTATATAATGTATTTTTTCTAGTAGGTCTAATGTACCTTACTAGCCTCCTGGACCTTGTAATACAGTCACATTTGGTGTCTCATTATTTTCTTGTACATTTAGGTATCCACTTTTTAGGAAGTCCACTCTTTTACAGTAAAAGCTTTGGAAAATGTATGAATGTTGACTCACACAAAACCAAATACAATGTGACTATTTACAGTGGGGCTTGATAAGAAGTCCTTTAACCAGTTCCAGGCCGCTCTATAGCCAAAAGATGGCTACAGCGTGATCAGCTAGTTCTGAGAGGGCGTCCATGGACGCCCTCCCAAAACCAACCCCTTGCACGCGATCTGTGATCGATGTGTCCTTCAGACACAGCTGATCACATATCTAAGTAATGCTCCTATCAGAGCCGCCTTTTAGCATATGGCCAGATGTGTCCTATCACAGCTGATCACAGTGTAAATAGGAAATGCTGGTTATTGGCAGTCCTCACCTTGAGCATTAGGAGAGGAGAGCCAGTAAGCGGCATTTCTCAGGGGGACATCTAAACTGATCATGAGTGCCCTGGTTATCAGTGCAGCCCCATCAGTGCTGCCAATAGTGCACAACTGCTGGCTTTCAGTTCCCATCTGCGCTGGCTATCAGTGCCCTTCTGTGCTGGCTTTCAGTGCCCATCTGTGCTGGCTTTCAGTGCCGGCTATCAGTGCCTCTTCAGTGATGTCTGTCAGTGCCCATCAGCGCCACCTATCAATGCCCATCAGTGCCACTTATCAGTGCTGCATATCAGTGCAGCCTCATCACTGCCTCCTCATCAGTGCCCATTAGTGCAGCCTATCAGTGCCCTTCAGTGTAGCCTCCTTAGCACCCATCAGTGAAGGAGAAAATTCCCTTATTTACAAAATTTTAAAACAGAAACTAAAAAAAAAAAATTATTTTTCCCCAAATTTTTTGTCTTTTTTTGTTTTTTTCACAAAAAATAAAAACCCCTGTGGTGATTAAATACTGTCAAAAGGAAGCTCTATTTGTCTCAAAAAAAATTATAAAAATGTAGTTTTGGTACAGTGTTGCATGACTGCACAATTGTCATTCAAAGTGCGACAGTGCTGAAAGCTGAAAATTGGCCTGGAAAGGAAGGGGATAATTAAGGCTTATAATACCTATACATTACTTCTAAGTTGACTCTAAGTTGCTTTTTCCTTGAATATGCCAACTTCCAGGGCTGCTTAGCCACTGCAAGTCCGGACACTTTTATCCCCTTCCTATCCAGGCCAATTTTCAGCTTTCAGTGCTGTCACACTTTGAATGACAATTGTGCAGTCATGCAACACTGTACCCATATGAAATTTTTAGCATTTTTTTGAGACAGATAAACTTTATTTTGGTGGTATTTATTCACCACTAGGATTTTTGTTTTTTTTTGCTATATAAATGAAAAAGTCAAAAAAATTTGAAAAAAAAAGTGTTTTTCTTATAAAATCTTGCAAATATATAATCTTTCTTCATAAATCTTCATAAGCCTTCATAAAGGCTGTAAAAGCAATTATTTCTCTTTCTCTCTGGCTGCATTCCTGCAGCCATTGAGAAATACTGTGACAAGCTGTGATTGGTCACAGCTTGTCACATGGTACAAGGCTATTGTGAATAGCCTTGTACCATGTGATCTCTGTGATCATTCACAGATTTCACATGTAGTAAGCAATGATGTCAGAAGTGACATCTTGTTTATCACTATTCATGTGATCACTGATTAGCCAATCGGTGATCACCTGATCGGGACTTCACACAGCGGGCACCTCCAGACACAGCGGGCACTGGATCGTGGTGCCGCGCGCTCCCAGGGTGCCTGCACAGGCTAAAATGGCAGGCGCCGATTATGAACAGCAACCCGCTCCTGCACTGCTTCCGTCTGGCCATTTATATACATGGGCCGGACGGGAAGTGGTTAAGCACTTCCAGACCGGACACTTTTACCCCCTTCCTGACCAGGGCAATTTTCAGCTTTCAGCGCTATCACACTTTGAATGACAATTGCGCGGTCATGCAACACTGTACCCAAATGAATTTTTTACCATTTTTTTGAGACAGATAAAGCTTTATTTTGGTGGTATTTATTCACCCATGGAATTTTTATTTTTTTTTGCAATGTAAATGAAAAAGTCCAAAAATTTTGAAAAAAAAGTGTTTTTTTTTTATAAAATTTTGCAAATAAATAATATTTCATCATAAATCTTGGCCAAAATTTATTCCGTTATGTTTTTAGTAAAAAAAAAAAAAATCCAAATTAGTTTATAACCAAAGATAATTTTTAAACATATTTTTTTTACATTTTTATTTTATTTTTTTATTATTTTTTATTTTAATTTTTTTTTTTTTTTACATACTGTCACCCTAGCAGTACAGTGTCACCGTACTACTTGTGGGGGGTGATGAAGATTTTTTTTTTTACACTGATTGCTTTTATACCCATATAGGATGTAAAAGCAATCATTTCTCTTTCTCTCTGTCTGCATTCTTGCAGTCATTGAGAAGTTCTGAGTGAGCTGTGATTGGTCACAGCTTGTCACATGGTACAAGGCTGTTGTGATCATTCGCAGATTTCACACGTAGTAAGCAATGATGTCACAAGTGACATCTTGCTTACTACTTTGCATGTGATCACTGATTGGCCAATCAGTGATCACATGATCGTACAGATCGGTGTTTCACTATGTCCGGAGGACACAGCGGGCACCGGATCGTGGTGCTGTGGGCTCCCAGGGAGCGTGCACAAGCAGGGTGCGGGGAGGCCATTTATAAACGGCCACCCGTCCCTGCATTTCCACCGTCCGGCCGTTTATATACAACGGCCAGTTGGGAAGTAGTTAAAGGATCGGTTCACCTTTGTTTTTTTTAATTCCAGCTCCCCTAAGCACTAGTATAGCATTAATGTACTTTTTTTGCAGAAATTCAAAAGCTTTCCATTTTTTCTACCCATCTTTATGTCAGTATCCAGATGGCTGTACAAAAAAAACTTCTCAGTTACTTCTGTCTTATTTCCTGCAGAGACTTTAGGTCATGACACAGGAAGGAGTTGACCAACTGACCTCATTAACACACACCCTTCATCATCTACCTTCCTACCTCCCACCCACTTCCAGGTGCACAATTATTAAATGAAAAGCAATCAGTCAGTGATCACTGTTTCTCACTAAATGCACTGACATCAATTTTTATTTTCCTACCTTAACTTTTATCTTGCATTTATTTGGCATAGTGTGCTGAGTGAACAGACAATAGCTTATGTGGATAGAGCTGTAGTATTGAAAACAGGAGAATTGTGTTCTGGGTTCTGTAAAGCTCACATACATGATACAATCTGATTGTACAACCTCCTTTAAATCTACTATCAACTATGTAGTGCAAAGGCCTGTTTGACTGGATACAGAGTGATTGGATGGATAGGTGGGTCCACCTATTTCATAGTTGTGGAAAATCTAAAGGAAATTGTACAGAGATTGTACAATCAGATTGCATAGAATATGGCTATCTATATATAAGTACATAGGAGGGAGTGGATGGAGACACTCGGCTGTCAAGCCCCATTCACATTCTCACATGTGGGTTTTTTGGGGCGTTTTGGAGCATTTTTGCTTGTCATGCATAGGGCAGCTCATCCACTTGAATGTGCTACTGTACATGCAATAATCGTCCTGAAGAAGCTCCAGAAATGTTTTTTTAAAGAGTGGAACATGGTGCTTTTATTATTGTGATTTTTGGTTCAGCACATTTCTGAAATGCAAGGCAAAGTGTGCATTTTCTGTGCAGTTTGCCATGTGTTCTGAAACACAGAGATGTAAATGGAGCCTAATGCTGCAATTTCACTTTCAGGCTAAGTATATTATCCCTCCACCTGTGCCATTAATCTTCCTGTTCATAGACAGCTTGTCTGGTGCTCTGTGACAGCTTCCTCCTCCTTTCCCCGCTCCTGGCCCTGTCCATCATCTGCCTCTTGCTCTATAAAAGGCTCCTTCACCCCCAGCTCCTCCCTGCCTGATGAAAGAGCGCACCTGGACTCATCTCGTCCTGCACATGCTCAGAAACGCATAAAAAAAGCATTTTGATGACGTCAGATGCCACATGTGCTGATCCCGGACATCTTGGAGACTCTGCCAGGCTCCACCATCCATGCTGCATATGCACAGCACCATCTGCTGGCAGACACCTTGGAGATTCCGCCAGGCTTACCATCCATGTTGTACATGCACAGCACCACCTGCTGATGGACTCAATCGATCTCCTCTCTGGATCAGACACACAACAACATCTGGCTACAGATGTCTCACCCTCTTACCCATGAGCCTGTTTTTAAATTCTAAGATGTGAGTTACTACTTATCTTTCTATTAAATACCTTCACAGTACACACTTAGAGGCGCTGTGTTTCTTTGTTTCAGTTCAGTGGGTATATAATGCACGAGGGAAAATCTGGGTAAAAATGGAAGGTACACTAGGTGAGACACAGATAAAATCATTTGGATTCCACAACAGTTTCGGATGTTTTCTGAAAACACAAACACTTTAACACGGAATGTATTTAGAATATGGGATGCAATTCATAAACAAATGGGATGGGAGTATAATTCACCGTTAATGCCTCTTGTGGAAACAAACTTTTTTCCACCAGGGAAAGAGGATATATCAGGAAAATTGATAAAAGATAGGAATGCACAGTTAAAGGATATTATGAAGTAGGGAGAAATATGTTCTTTTCAAGAATTGAAACATAAAAAGGAATTATTTGATGTATTAGATAAGTGGCGATATTATCAATTAAGACACTTTGTGGTAGCACTTCCACAACTAGTAAAAGCATTTGAAGATCTGTATCCACTTGAACAGATGTTGAGTTCTGGTGTTATATGGAAACATGGTATTTCTTGTACAGTATATATAAGATACTTACTAAAATATCTTAACCTATCTCTCCACCATTTTTGGAGAAATGGGAAAAGGAATTTGGAATTCAATTAAATATACAGCAAAAAAAGGAAAATACTTAACTTAGCACATGGGATAGTGGATATGAAGGTATTAGAATTGAATTATACATTTTTGGCAAGATGGTATATTATAACTAGTGTGGCACACAAGCAACAATCAAAGAAATCATTATTATGTTGGAGAGGTGTGGGATAAAGGGAACTACGGCACATATATGGTGGGAATGCCCCAGGATACAGGAGGTTTGGGAGAAAATAGTACAACAAATACAAGAGATCTCAGAAGCTAAAATTTTAAAAGACCAGTGGATTTGTTTATTCCATAATACTGAGTTGACAGTGAAACAAAATAAGAATATGATGATATTCCATTTATTAAATGCAGCAAAAGGATTGATACCAAAGTTTTGGCAGGTTCAGGAGACCCGCAGAATTACATAGTTACATAGTCTGGCTAAAAAAAGACAAAAGTCCATCCAGTTCAACCATAGAAAAAAAAAAAGTTATAATCCTATACTCACAGTTGATCCAGAGGAAGGCAAAAAAAAAAAAAAAACGAGCAAAGCATGATCCAATTTGCACCTGCTGGGAAAAAAAAGTCCTTCCTGATCCCCCGAGAGGCAATTGGATATTCCCTGGATCAACTTAAGTAAAGTATTCATATATAGAGTAGAATATATTTATAGGATGGAGGAATTATATCATAGTGGTGGAGAGGATAAAATGGAAAAAATATTAAGAACATGGAGGGGATGGTGTGATTTCAAAAGCTCAAAGAGTTATGCAGAATTGATGGGAGTGTAAAATTCTGAGAAAGACAACTGGAGAGATGAGGCAATGATGGAAAAAGAAAAGAAGAACAAGAGGAGAGGAGAGAAGGAAAATACAATTAGCAATAGAAGAACAAGCGGACAAGGGAAAAGGCAGAGGGTAATGGTGGGTGGTTGAGGGTGGGGGTTGGGGGGATGGGATTATGGAAAATAAAAAAAACAAACGACTAGGTGCTAATGCCCTCAACCAGCACTGGGTAAACAAGAGTGAAAAAAAGGCAGGCAATCCCACAGCTGCTTCAATGACCATAGGGAGTATGTAGTAAAAACAAAAGCATAAAAGATCAGAGCACTCGTGGCAAATGTCCAGAATAAAAAACAATAACCAGCGGACAAATATAAAACAGTTTAATGGAGCAATAAAAGCAAGAATCACCATAAGGATGTATCCATGAATGGATGTCATACAAGGATCAGTGCAAACCATAGACTGCTTCCTTGTGTTCCACTGAGGTCACTTCCGGCACGTGATCTCCAGCAACTAAGGAGGTCCATCCTGCTCCTCTCATCCCTCCTGTGGGGTCTCTCTCAGACCGCTGGCCTTGGTCACCTGTATACCATCAATTGTGGTTCTTTCACCTTCCACCTATTGAGCTCACCATCCAGGCTCTCCATTACCATGCCTACAACACAGTAAGCCGCTCCCATCATTCCTTCAGTCTACTGTATGGTTTGCACTGATCCTTGTATGACATCCATTCATGGATACATCCTTATGGTGATTCTTGCTTTATTGCTCCATTAAACTGTTTTATATTGTCTGCTGTTTATGAACATTACTGTTTTTTATTCTGGACATTCGCCACAAGCACTCTGATCTTTTATGATTATGGAAATAATGCATTGTAAAATGAGCTTTATGGAATGATACTCAGTGAGTTCCTTTTTTATTTTGTAAACGAAATTAATAAAAATATAATAATAATAAAAAAAAAAGAACTTAGATCAGTATTCACAATGCCGCACGATCATTGGCTGCCTACTTACAATCTATCGGACACTCTTCAGTGAGGTAGACACAGACTCACAATACCACAGGACAGCTGGGCAGTCTTCCTCCAACCTTCACCAGGTACTCTTCACTGAGGTCTCTGACCATAAAACTCCCAGACCAGACTTTGCAAATAGGCCCACCCAGCTTAAGCTACAACTGGGACCTCGCTGACTTCCAATCAATATTTCCAGCAGCCTGCACTCAGGGGCAAAGCTCCTAGACAGGGGACTCCACTTGCAAAACTGGATGCAGGACCCCCATCCACAGCTCTAGGCCTCAGCCACCTACTAGACAAAACTCTCCAGATATTGGCTGGGTCTCCATAAATTTTCAAGCTGCCTTTCTGTTTTTCCAAAGGATCACAAAATTCAAAGCGCTCAGGTCTCCCAGATAGGTTATGGAGAGGGTATGTGTACCAAGTTTATTTCTCCCAGGCTGACAATGGGAGCTCTGGGCATATGACATCTGAGGCGGTGATGTGCAGGGAAGAAGCACATCGGAACCTGTATGTGGAGGACTGGGTGTCTCCCAGCAGGAAATTCCACAACGGTGGCCGGTATGTCAGGGTTGAAGCCGCACGCACTGGAAGTGACGCGCTGGAAGCTATTGGTGTGTTGTTTCCAAAGGTGCCACTTGAAACAACCAGGAGACGACTGGGGGAGCTTGCGACACCAATCAGACAAAAGGAAATTTTGCGTGCATAAGCTTTGTGAAGTCACATAGTCCGGAGAGGATGGCTCTGTTTTAAATATGGGCTTACCTGGGGCATACAATCATAGATAAACATACACTATATTGCCAAAAGTATTGGGACTCCCCTCCAAATCATTGGATTCTGGTGCTCCAATCACCTCCATGGCCACAGGTCTCTAAAATAAATCACCTAGGCATGCAGACTGCTTCTACAAACATTTGTGAAAGAGTGTGTCACTATCAGGAGCTCATTAAATTCAAGTTTGGTAC